TCATTTAAGGATTTATAGCCTTATATCGGTAAGAATTAAGCTAAGTATTTTACTAAGTTTTGATTTTTTTATAATATGAAAGTTAACTTTAACAGATATAATTGTCATTACGTTTTATAGTTCTATAATAACCAAACGATGTACGAAATAGCTCAGGAAACATTGTGGAACATAAGAATAACAAGCCATGTCGTTAAAGTCGTTGAAAAAATTATCTACCGCAGAATAGGCCGTTCGCACCCGCTGCGGATTCGTCATAAGGGAGTACGCCATCAAATATTCAATTTTAAAACGGCCGCTAAAAGCGAAACGTCATCGCCTCTACAAACACAGCTGGGACTTAACGATTTAGAAATTTCGCTACAGATGGGACACGCACTCCACTTCACAAGAGATAAAGTAAGAAATTGCATTAGCAAAAGTGAAAAATTTAAATGAAGACGGCAACGACACCGGCTCAGCTGCCGGCGCGTCGACTGCCGGCAATAACTGTTTAGAGGGTGTGTTGATGTCGCGACACAAGTCGTTTCATGTCCCGGAAAATTATTCTGTCAAGAACAAGAATACGACGCGGATGCGGACAAGGAGTAGGAAAAATTTCATTAGCGCCAATCAAAATGACGAGGTCTAAAATGAAGCTCGCAAAGAGAGTCGTAATCACGGACTCCGGTGGACCCCCTCGACGTGAGGTCTTATTAAAGGAATAATATTTACAAAACGAGACGCCTCGAAATCCCCAAATTAAGATCTCGCCGAAACCCGCCCAACTTCCACAAAGTGGAATCATTAAATTAAAAATGTAAACTTTTCTCTTAGCAAGGTAATGGGCATCCCGATGTAGATAAATAGATGGAATAGCTGCAAAAAGGAGCATTTTCCTGTTCATTAAATTTTTCCTTCGCTTTTTTATTTCGACCCCTGGTGCTAATTTTGTTGGAATTCACGCCCCTCACCCCACCCGCTGGGGTTCAATCACAGAAATTTTATATCCGGAATTAAATAAGTACCAGAACGAATTACAGGCAAAATCTAATACGAGCTTATTTTTAGCGGGGAATCTTTCTTAATTAACTTGATACAAAAGTCGAACACGCGATGGATCTAAATAAACTGAATGACATCAATTCGCTCGTCCGTCTTTCGAAAGATCTGACGAGAGTTGGGTAAATGCTTTGGAAAGTTAATCAAGAAGTGAAATATTCTCATCAGCGGCAACTTATTGCAGAGGGTGGTTTGTGTTCGTAACTCGATTGTCTCCAAGAGTCAGCAGTAGATACTCCGCAGGAAACGTCACCCAGCTCGGTATTAAATGCAATTATATTGTACTAATATGCCGTCTGCGACCTCCGCACCCCCCCCCCCCGCCGCACACCCCCGCTGCCCACAGCTCCGAGCTACCCTTTAACTGTTTTGAGGGGATCATTTGGAAGTTAGTTAATTGCTGTTGCACCTGAGTTTGTTTACTAATTTAACTCCTCTTAAGAAAACAAAAACCGATTTAATCATGACAAATGCTTTACGTAATTGTTTTAAAGACTCCAATTTCTTACAAAGTTTCTTTGACATAATTTTGTTCTATTTAAGTTTGAGATTTTTATGTCTTATAAATAAATTAAGTTTTTAATTCATTGTTATTATAAAAATGTTTCGATTGCCAAGGTAATTTATGAAGATGATTTCCTACCGACGGAAATAAAACGTATATCACGATTAACCCCATCTATCAAGTATTTGGTACCAACAACATTAATTTAATTCATACTCTCCAAACTTCAAAGTAATTTAAAACAATAATTGAAATACGGATGGAGTATTATTTATCAAATGTATCGTGTTTTATGCTCGTAAATATATTTTATTCGATATTGATTGTTGCAAATAAGGAAATCAAATTATTCAATGTCCGCCCCTCATTTGTATCCGCTCCCCCGGACAAGAAATGAAGAAATTCTTTGTGAGTTTTCGATTACTTGTCCAATTAATTTTATAGATTCATTTATCTTAGATCTTTTCAGATATTCATGGGAAACATCAATGCGAAATTACTTTTATTTGAAATTTATACTATAATTTATTCTGCTACAATATTTTTCTTTTAAAAAGATTCGACGTTGCTGTACCTTATCACACATTCGTCGTAAATGATCGAAATTTCAGTACGCAGGAGCTGTTAACTAGGTCAAACGTTTCAGCAGTCAGGTGATGTACTGAGTGGTCGCTGTGGGTCACGAGGGGCGAAAGGGAATGTGTCAGCAGGGTCGCTTCGCATTGCCCGAGTTGGGGCATCGTGGACGAGAGGGAAAGTTTACGTTCGGCTTGTCATCACGCCTCCGCGCGCAACTGGGCGAGTACGGCGTGTGAGGAGCAACGCACCGACAACTCATCATATAATTGGCGTAGAGCCTTATTAACCATGCATCTTAGCCCAATTATGTATATTACGAAAGAAATAATTTACTGTTTTTTTTAATAGAAATATCGCTAAATAATACTAGAGACCTCTAGGAATGTGCTTACCAATCCTTACTATAAAAGATTATAAAACAATCCAATACCGTTAAACGTATTCACTATGGAACAAATTATAATTTTAATGACAAAATAAAGTATTTCATTTTCATTTTTTACTTTAAACAATATGATAATTAAAAATTACGTTCAAAAATTAAATAGGAATACATAAATTCGACGAGAACATAATGGCCAGCGTTCGGTTGACGCATAGCGAAGTGCGCTTGTAATTGCGCTGGCCCATTGATTTTCACAAAAGGCGTGTTTACAGATGAAAGCGTAATTTACATACAAAGGGATGGAGTCGCTGAAACAAACGGCACAGGTGGACACCTCCCGCGATTTCACGCCGAACATGCCGCGACGCGCCGCCGTGCCGAGTCGGTCGAATGGGCGGCGATTTTTAGAACGTACGATATAATGTCGTATGACTGACGTCTGCTTAAATAATATTCCGAAAGGTATAACACATACTTTAAGATGTTAAAAGATTTGTGTTGGTATAGTTTAAATCGACAAAAAAAAACTTTTTTTTCTAAATCGTAGAAAGAAATTAATATGAATGAAACGTATGGTCTATATTCAAAAAGCACAGTACCGAGTATGATAGTAAAAAGCATGTAGTGTCAAGTTTAAAAGTTAAAATAAAATAAAATATCGTCGTTCAGAATCACACAGGTGAGAAAGACAAGGGTGTCAAAGCGTTGCAGCCCTTTTCCAAATCATTTCCATTCCGTTTTCCAAAGTGAAAATTGCCCACGGACGGTCAAAGGGTTAACGATTTAGTGTTTATTTGAATTCAGCCCTTGAACAAAAGGCGTCTCGTGTAAACAGATCGCTAGCTCTGATTTCTATTTGTTTGCAGAAAAGTCTGTCACAGAGCTACGTTACAAAATAGATACGACATAAATAATATTTTAAATTATTTTGTAGCATTATTTTTTTACTTTTAATTTACGACATTCCTATTACTTTATAGATATAGTAGACTTTAAGGGAGAAATCTTTTAAAGAAACTTTAAGAAGCTTTTGTCCACAAAGTACTATTCATTATCGTAATTCTTTTAAAAGCATTCGGATTTAAATAAAAGCTATTAGATAGGGATAGATCTTTGATTCTAAATCCATTAGATAACAATATGAATCCTGGTCATAATGACGACCGCTATGGAGATTATATCATCTGTCAAATTAATATTAAAATTCGAATTATGAATATTAGATCTATTCTGTTAATATAATACATCAATGGGTCTTAATATCTGACGGTTTTATGGGTCTTCAATTAAATTTCTGGGTGATTTGTGCTAATTTTCTATGTACTTTACCTTTAATATGGAACAAAATAAAGTTAAAATGTGTACAACGTATCTGTTTCTTGTCTTAACATTTTCGTATATCCAACGTTTAAGAATCGCAGTTTTCAATTGAACAAATCATGTATATTTAATCAATCAAACTTATTCGTTGCATTCATTATTATATGCAGAAATAAAAAATAAATACAAAACCTTGTATGCAGTGTTAACAAGGCCACTAAGATCGCGGTGATCAGCCAAAATAGGAGAGCGGATCTCTCAACAGTCTTTGTATTCCCTTTGTTCACCACAGTACAGCACAGCGTGGCAGCAATTGTGAATGAGGCCTCTCTGCGGGGCGTCCACAGTAGCTCGCTGTATCTTTTTTTGTTCGTTCAAAGTTTTATCAAACATATTACTGGCGGCTTTACGATGCCAACAAAGGAAGCGTGCTAACGGAGGCGTTAAATCCTTTACGATTTCAATGGTGATCTTCACGAATTTGTCACAGAATCACACCGGGATCGAGATCTCATCATGCGTTAAAGTTATTGAATTTTAATGTAAATACGTAAAAACTTTTTAAGCAAAACACTAAAACTTCATTTCAAATGTTGATACCAAAATAATAAACCATTTCAATAATTAAAAAAAAAATACACACACATGCTTATATCTATTAAAATTCTACTGTGATACGGGATAATGTAAATTTATCTGTGATTATTTGTCTTTTATATTTTTCGAATATGTTCCTAATTTTAGGTGTAACCTGGAAGCAAAACAACGACATCTAAAATCACCCACCAATTTACAAATATATAACAAAATAATCACAACACGAAATAAATACGGATCGTACAGATGGCAAGTAAACGAAATAAGCAGGGTAAAGTTAAAAACAATTGAAAATAATCGTCATTAAAGATTGAATGGAAACTTGAGTAGCATTTAGAAAGGTCATACTTTGGGAAGACCAATGTAAATCGCAAATAAATTATGAAAAAAACACATTGATAAGCAATTTGTACGAAAAAAGAATACTGTGGCAAAAAATCCTGAGCGGCGGTTGTGTCGTGTGGTCTTCCAAGCTACACCGTGCCCGAGCGCCCGAGCGACCGGCCGAGCCCGCGTCCGAACAAACCGAGTGCGGTCGACGAAACCGATCGCGCGAGCTAGCTAGCGACATACCTGTCTGGCGCTTTCATTGACAGGCACCTGAAATGAAGAAAAAAATCCATCCAATTCGTTGAATATTTTAAATTTTTCAAAAAAATTTTACTCATTCATTAACACGTACAATGAAAATAATTATTAATTTTCACACAGATAAATTTACATGCACTTATTTCTAATTATACTGCATTTCTAAATGGTAACGATAAAAGTGAATGGTTTTATTTATAGATCTAGTTTGATTTGTATACAAAAAAATATAAAAGGTAACAATACTGGCGGCATAAAATAAAAATTAAAAATAAACATTCAAAAAAAGAACAAACAATAATGTGGCAAAACAGTTAAAAACAACATTGCAAGATGTATTAGGACAGTTGTTAAAATATGGGGGCTCGAGTCCAGTAATATTGTACGTTTGCACGCGATCCCTAGCCGTGTTTGCCTTTGCGCAGCTCTGTGCTGCGCGTTGCACTTACAATACTACACATTACGTTTATTGTTTTACTACCGATACTTTTTCGTTTATAATATTCGTTTTCCTTAAACGAATATTAAATATTCGATGCCGATAATAAGTCAAAACATAGTAATATTTAATACGTTATAAATGAAACTGACCATCAAATAAAAAATAATAACGATAAAGTGAAGCCCCTTCCCAATGGACAAATGAATTACATTATTAACGGACCAGATCACGCAAACGAAATCGTAAAATTAAAGCAAGCCAATTTTATTGAACGAATCCAATTCCATAAAATTGGAAGTAAATCACATGTAAACAATTAATAAAAGTTATGTATATTGCGCAAACAATATTATAATAGACATTGAACATTATAATTATGATGAAAAATAGAAACATCATGAAAAATTGGTATACCTATTACTTAATTTCTGGAAATCTGTATCATTCTTGTATAACATATAACTCAATTGCAATCTGCTTGAAAAAACCAATCTATCAATATTAGAACACAAAAAATAATGCAAGTCAGTTAATAATCCCGAATCGGCAATCACAATGGAAATAAAGTCACAGTCACTTTTTTAATAATGGCAACTGAGTTTTTTCTTTTTTATTGCCACCCTAGGTTCGTTTGACATTTGAACTGGCTGATGACTCCGCCGCCATGATTGATCGTCCCGACCCAGTAAATAAGTGCAATTTAGCTTTATATTCCCTTTCCATTCAAATTATTGTTATATTTGTAATAACAACATTGCATTTGGATATTTTGAGTGTACTCCTGTGTTTATACTCATGATGACAATTAAAAAGGTGGCTTCCAATTTTTGGTATTTTTTTTTATCATAGCAACACGTTCTTTCAAATTAAAGAAACAATATTGCTTCTTGCCATCTTACTTCTTACTAATCTTACTAATATTATAAATGCGAATGTTTAGTTGGATGGATGGATGTTTGAACGTATCTCCGAAACGGCTGAACCGGTCTCCCTGAAATTTGGGATAGACGTAGAACATAGTCTGGATGATCACATGGGCTTACTTATTAAATATTTTTTTAATTGTGCGCGGACGGAGTCGTGGGTGACAACAAGTAATTAATATTTTTTAATTTGCCGTGCTGCGTTAATGTGAGATCGTATTTAGACGCTTGTAACTTGTAAACAAAATTATCAACATTAATTGTTCTGTCTGTTACCATATACGTCGGATAAAGGGTGTCCAATTATATTGTGTTGATTACTTTAAAATAATATAACATATAATACAAACACAGACTTATTAAAAATGAGAATGATATATTATTAAAATGATGTTCAAAAACAAATTAACTGTTGAACTGTGATTGATAATCATTTTGTCAATCCGCAATGTCATTTGAGATCTCCTAAACGGTGTCCAAAGTAAAGTAACTTTTAATTTCTACGGCATAAAGTATAAAATTTAATTATAGTTCTACAAATATGATTTCGTCTTAAAATTATAAAATAACAACCTTACCCTATAGGTTATATGGTTTAAATTCGTTAGTTTGAAGGAAAATATTTTGTTTAAGATGACCGAGAACATAATTTATCATCGGCACAAATATCCGCCCCGGGCGTAACGAATCACTAGTAAATATATTGACCGCAAACGCCTCGGACCATTTCTTTTGATCTAACATCTAGAACGGACTCAGACATTAATTTGTTTTTACATTATCTGTGTTGATTTTTATTAATTTATAAAGTTGGTAACGAGCTACTATATTGATTTGTAAACGAATGTTAGTCTTAATAATGACGATACATTAGTCGCTTACCGTGGTTTTCTGAGACTAAAATCTCTGTATAAAAAATATCGTCATCCCTGACATTATCTTTGATAAAACAGAGATATCAATATGTTTCAAACGGAGACTCTGCTCTCAGAAACCCACGGTAAGTGTTTGATCTGAAGGATTTCTTTTGTTTTTAAACACAACTTTTATTACGTGCTTTAAAACTCTCTGTTTCTTATCATAGAAAACTTAGGAAGGGTTACACTTACAATTTGGATTAAACATTTTAACCCTTTTATCGCAAGCAGATGTAAAACATTACCAGAAATCATGGTTATAGAAATATGATTATGCGTAGTCTTCCAAGTATCTTAACAAAAACGTATACTTATACTAGAAGCAGTTATATTATAATATATTTAAAAGTAAAACATACTATTTTAATATGTTGTCTATATCATCAATCACCGGCGGTCAAAAGGTTAAAAAAAACTATTCTAACTTAACGGTATCTAAGAATATTTTAGAGTCATAAGGTTTGCGTGTACAAATACAGTACAGTAACTATATCACAGAAATAGAGACATTATACAAAATAAATGACAAATGACAGCTGCTAATATTGAACTAAAATGTAACCTAAGCGATCAATTGAACGTGACGCCCCGGGATGTGGGGGGCTGCCAGACTAGTTAAAACTTACCAGCTCTTTTCAACCAGCGTATCAGTTCCCATTGGCACATAAAACATATCTATATATTTGCTAATATAGCAACTTAAAAATAAAATAAACATATGTGTAGAATCTTTTAGAAGCAAACTATATTTTTTTCCAATATGTATATGTTTTTAAAAACAAATTATTATTATAATACTGATAATACGATGAGTTAAGCCAATTAAAGAAACACTCGAGCAATGATCTGCTCAAGGGCCTAGAAATTTCAGTGCTCTCAATTAAAACGTAGAAATAATTATTTTCCACCCCTCTTGAGAATTAATTTAATAATGTAAATACGAGTGGCTGTCTCTTCCCCATGGCCATTGCCTTTATTAAATATTTCATAATGTTTATTTTACGAAATCTAATACCTTTTATAAGAAATGATGCGATTGTTCGTAATCGGCAACGAAATACGAAACGTCGCTACACAACTCTTGTTACAATTATACTAACTAAGTACTAAATAATAATTAAATCCAAATACGTCGCGTCGTAACGAATATTTAGTTGAGAAAAGAACTTTCTAGTCAGAATTATAATATTAATGCATCAGTAAAATGGTCATCCAAAAAATTATAGATCAGAACCTCGGCCACATTGCTCCCTAGCAGACAAAATCAAGTATTATAAGGATTTTTTTCTTTTAAAGAACGAACGAATTTAAAGTAAGTGAACCTGATTAGTTCTACATATTGAAATTTGTTACTTTTGTAAGCTCGACTGACCTTATCTTGTTGTTGGCCCTTGCGGTTGCATCGTAAAAATAAACAATCGCCATCGACAAAGTTGAGTGCCGGAGCGCCGCCAACTCTTCCGCCGCACCTGCCCCGCGCAAACTTTTGACAAGGCCGTTAAGATTTTTTTTTCTACGGAAAAATAATTGCAAGTTTATCCACCGCGGAACATTAATTTTCTTTATCCGCAAAACGGGTTAGAAACAATGCAATTTAAATATTTTATGCTCGAGTTGAAATAGGGGTGACCACATAGTTTTAAAAATAACAATATCTTCCACTTAAATCTTTGTCATGAACGCTACGAACTAAAAAGATATGTCGAATCTAGTTGGACCTTTAATCGACTCAAATAAAATAAAATAAAAACTTGGCATTTCCGAATACACTAATTCTGACAATAACAAACATAAAAGTAGGATCATGTTTTTTTTTTCAATGTTTATAGCCGATTAAAAATAGAGTACCAGCGCGAGACCTTCTTAAATTGTTTATATCAGTTGTTTGCAGGGAACATTGTTTATTATGCTTATTTATAACACTCGGAAGAATTATTAGGTCTGAATCATTTAAGTCCTTGCTCCGTACTTGTAATCCTTGGCTGAGATTAAAATGTTCCACCGCCGCTAATTAAAGGGGTTACTTTTTTACCTAAATAATTAAACGTGTCTTAAATTGTTTCTTTTCCTTCTTTTAAGATACTTAAGGTACTCTTTTATGGTTCAGACTATATTAAAATATTTAGATTTTTCAAAATTAAATTTAATATAATGTATGAATGTTAATTAAGAATAATTTTATTTCAATTCTAGATTTGATACTCGTAATTTGTAATGTGAAATTCGTACTTTGTTCTTTTAAGTATTTTAAGGGAAAAATTAAATATTTTTTTAAACTATATTACTAATATAATATTATGATGCAGATGATTATAACTATAGATGGAAAATTCGTATACAGTCGAACCTGAAAAAGCGAGAGTCCAAGGTCCAAGATCCGAGTCGCTTTTAAAATATCACTCATGGAGTCCGTCGAAACCGTATAATGACTCTCGCTTAGTGATACAGATATTGTATCATACCTATAGATATGTTTTACCAATGATTTCCGATTGTTTGTGTATATTTATGTCAGTAAGTAACAATAACTGGCAACAGGAGCGATTAGCTCGAGGCTAGCAACCACTACTTGATCACGACTCTACACTAGAAGTGCGTTTTATGCATTTTAAAAACAGTTACCAAAGAAAATACATTCTTGTTTATAATTGCAAATGGTAGCATACACAATGTTTTGAATCCGATTCAGGAATGAACATTAATCCTCTTTTCCACATTTCAAAGACAAAC